AGGGGTAAGATCGTCGGATAAGCCGGATTAAGATCTCACGGTAGAGAGTGTTCCTTCTCCGGAGGAGACACACGGTTGGTAATTTACGCGCAATCGCGACGATCAGCTCCAGCCTCCGAAGACAACGCGCGTGGTTGCACCGCGAAGCGGAGTAGGGTCATCGCGAAACCCGTGAAATCGACACGTGCGTCAACCGCGAAGACGACGGAGGAGGAAGCCCGACGCGGACGATCCGGGGCGACGATAAGGCGCGAATTTTCCAACAAGCGCGTCGTGTCGTTGCGCCCAGGAACACAGGCCTTCGCGGAGGAAAAGGCGGGACGAGCACGATGGAAAACGCGATTAATTACGCGTCACCGCGCTATCTGTCCCGCGGCCATGTTACTTTGCATGCCGGGTCGGGAACGAGCGTGAAATTACGTTGATTATAAAATTGATCCTCGTACGATCGCGTATTAGACCCGTAGAAATTACCGGACGCGGACGTCGACGTGTTTTCCGCGAGATCGTGCTAGGCATAACCGGCTGATAATAGAAGGTACGGGGTGCATCGGGGAAGTGACTCCGGGCCTGGCGATGTTGCTCGTTGTTTAATTGTATAATTACAACACTCGACTGCTGCCGACGACCGTATTAACGACCGGTGGCAGCCCAATTTCCGGGGGAGATCGCACGCGATTAATTGCCGGCGCGGCAATGTAATTAGAAATTCTGCCGGTAAGCGCGAGGAAAACAGCGCGAACGGTTTTCTTGGAAGGAATCTCGGCCATGGTGTTTCATCATGGGTAACAAGTCTTTTATGAGAGCGGAAAACTCAGTCCGCAGTCCCGGTGCCGGGGAGCGAATTGCGCGCAGGAGGACGCAGCTGCGAGCACCGTTTCCCAGTCCAAGTGTCTACATTGTGTCAATCGACGACGAAAACTCGCGATTCATAGAGGAAACAGGTCCTATCGGCATTCAAGGTCGATATAAAGCATAAGCTCGGAGTACGGCGGGGTTGTCCGCAGGTAAACCCCGCAATCGCGAACAATGCTTGTCCTATTATCGACAAACGAGAGCGGAAAACTTAATTGACAGTCCTAAGATGTCGGGGATCGGATTCCTCGCAGAATGACGCAGCAGTGAGCTCCGTTTCCTAGTCCAGTGTCTCTATACTGGCGACAAACACTCGCAACTGATAGAGAAAATAGGTATATGCTTTGACTTATTATCAGCAAATGAAAGCGGAAAACTCAATTGACAGTCCTGATGCCGGAGTGCGAATTGCTCGCAGGATGACGCAGCTGCGAGCTCCGTTCCCCAGTCCAAGTACCTCTATAGTGTCTACCGTTGACGAAGACTTGCGATTGATAGAGAAAATAGGTATAAGCTTTGTTTTACTCTCGGCAAATGAAAGTGGAAAACTCAGTTGACAGTCTTTGCACCGGGGTGCCAATTATTCGCAGGATGTCGCAGTTGCGAGCTCCGTTTCCCAGTCCTAGTGTCCCTACAGAGTCTACCGACGCAAAAGACTCGCGATTGATAGAAAAAATAGGTATATGCTTTGTCTTATGATCGACAAACGAGAGCGGAAAACTCAATTGACAGTCCTGACGCCAGGGAGCGAATTCCTCGCAGGATGACGCAGTCCAAGTATCCCTATACCGATTGACAGAGAAAATAGTATACTTCGTCTTATTATCGGCAGACACCTCGAAGCCTTTCCGTTACGAAATTCTACCCGTGAGTCACTTCTCTAAGCAACGAGGAGCATTTACAACGTCCTCGAAGACATGCCGAGATCGGACGCACCTACTCCCCGGGAATGGCAGGTCCCCTTCTATCCGCGACGAATTTGCAAACGTCTACAACGATCCCGGTGGACGAGGAACGGTGAGACCGGGGAGGTTTTAGCAGGTTCTCCGGTTACCCAGGTAGCAAGGAGGCAGAGGCGTACGGCCGTCGGGCTGGACGTAAATCCGTGGCTACCGTTTCGTCCCTGAGGATCTCAGGATCTACGTCGCGGTGTAATAAAGTCGGGTGCACGATCGCGCATTCATCGGCACGCACTGGTATCCCGGGCAAAAATGGGGGTCGAGGACAAAGAAGGACGCGCTCTCGATGGCGTCCCGGCGGTGGAACGGTGTGAAACGCCTGTTGGGAATTCCAGAAACGCGCGATGGCCTCTTCTCTAGCGAAGCAAGACGAGGAAGAACCACGAACGAACGAACGAACGAAGAAGAAGAAGAAGAAGAAGCAGGAAAGAAGAATCCGTGCGGTGGCGGCAGCAGTTTCTCGCGAGGATCTCGGAGAACACGAAGAGGGAGTGGAGGAATCGCGACGACGTCCCTGCAGGATTTATCGAGGAGACACCTGAATCCTCCCGGAATCTCGTGGCCGTTAAAAAGATCGGCTATCCCGTCGCGTCCGCGGAGGCCGTAGACAACCGACGCGACGGTCGCTCGGTGGTCGCGAGTTTTATGCAGATCCCCGCGCGATCGTGTAAATATCGCGGCCGGAAGGGGGCGCGCGGCCATCGCGTCGTTAGAGGCTAGGCCGAGGGGCCCTGCGGACCCGGATCGGGAGTTCACCACCCAGCCTAATGGCAATTAAATATCCCCACGCTAATTGGCAATTATAGGCCACGGGTGTCGACGGTGTTTCGCGTCTCCGTTGCACGCGGCGCCACTTAACTCGATATCTCCTCTTCCTTCCTTCCGTGCCCTTCACCGTTCCCTTCCATCCCTCGCTGTCCGTCGCAGCTCCGAGAAGAGGAACACGCGGAGGCGAAAAAAGGAAGGGAAAGGTGCCGGGGCAGGTAGGTGCAACAAGAGGCACTCTCTCGTACGATCTAGAGCTTATACGTATACCTGGCTCCCTGTAGCCATAGCCTGGGAGGCAGGGCACGGGTGCGAGGGGCGCAGCGAGAAGGGAGAGAGCTCGGTGTTTCGGACGCGAGAGGAGCGTTATAAGCGTCCAGACGCCACGAGGCCCAAAAGGTCCCCTGGTCCGCGGCCGGCGAGGGGCGGGCTGGAGGGGAGAGGGCCGAGGTGACGACAGCGAAAACTAGTTTATTTGGGACGCGGCTATAAATTAGGATCAGATCGCCACGCGATAAGAGTACCGGCTAACACCCGGTTCCTTTCGAACCTAGCGTATCTCTCTCTCTCCTCGGGCCCTCTCCGTTCAGCGCCGTTGTCAGTCTTGCTCTTTCCACCTCGACTTCTCCTTCGCTTGGTCAAACTACGAGGCGAAGACGACCGGGCCAAGAGGAAGAGGAAGAGGACCGCCGCGTGTGCCCTCTTCGTTGCACCTCGGGGCCCAGTCGTCGTTCCTTCGCTCCGCTCTCCGCTCGTCGCTTTCGCGTTTTCGTCCTCCCGACCCGTCTTCTCTCTATCCCGGTGAATAATGCGGGAAAGTTGCTCGTTTAGAGCGAAACGAATGATCCGACGCTAATTGATATGCCTGCCCGTGCGCCCTCGGCACGACCGACGTGCTCCGATCCCTCGCGATGGCAGAATTATTAAAGCGTCGACGAACACAGGCAGGGATTTTCATCGGGACGGTGTAATTGATTGTTCCTTTCGTGCCGAGATTCCGATCTGTAATGGCTTGTTTCGTCTTTCCACTTTTGTCTCCTCTCTCTTCGTTTTTCAAAAAACTGGTCCCCGACGTGTTTACAACGTCGACGAATCAGATAACCTTGGAGGGAGCGATACCTTCGAAATACGCGACGAAAGGAGCCAGAAAAGAATCGGGCCCCGGCGAATGCCTCGCGAGCGAACGACCGTGGGTACCCCTCTGCACGCGGCGCGCGGTACCGTTTCTCTATCTCTTCTTTCTATTAGCGAGACGTCGAGAGATAACGCTTGCACAGCGAGGATGGATATATCCGTCTAATTTCAGCGTTCCTTATTTATCTACGGCGTTACTCGTACGCGGCCGGGGCCGACGAAAGCGATGAATCACTGCGGAGGAGGAAGGATAAGCGACTTAATCGTTCGAGAACTGGTTTCGTCGAACCTACGAACTGCCTTCGACAACGCGTGCCTTCGGTTCCTTTTAAAAATTACCAGGCCCGCCTCTGATCACTACCGAGACGCTAATAAGCGTGAACGCGACGCCCGCGTCGAATGGAATAAACGACAGGTACGTGGAATCTCCGAGTTCCCACAGACCCTCGCGAAGCATACTATTCCGGACCCTCGTCGCGTTCCAGGATTTCCGAATGCTCGTCTTATTCCTGCGTTCGACCGGCGAGAGGATAGTACGCGAGTGGACCGTGCGGTCGTTCAGTCAGCGACGCGACAGGTTGAGGTGTGCCCGAGAGAGTACCGGTGTGTTCCAGCGGCGCACACGGGCAAACACGCATTCGGAAGAGCGTGGCCATAACGCGGTGGGCCGTGCGCGAGAGAAAGACGCGGCCAGCCAGTGGTGATTCCATTCACTGATTGAAATCTCCGTCCATTTGTCACTGTCAAGGAGGTGGCGATAGCCTCTCTCCTCTCCCGTTTTCTTTCTCCGCTTCCCGCTCGTACTCGCCCATTCCGTTCACCGGCCGAGCCCGGCTCGATACCCGATGCCCATTATTATTTCAACGGCAGAGAGGCCAACCCTAAACGACCAATCCACGCGTCGGATATTAATTTCTTATCGATTTCCCAGCCGCGTACCGCGGAAACCTCGCGAGTCTCGCGGACCGGACGCGCCATTCCGCCGATTTGCAAACCGATTAAGCGCCCGTGTACCCCGTGTCGTCGTCGTCGTGTCCTCGGTTTCCTTTTTTCGCCAGCCGCGAGATGAATTACGATCGCACCTCGTCGCAACTCACGCGCCACCGCGATTAACGTCCACCGTGTACTCGCGATTTGTCATCGAGAATTCCCCCTAGACACGGGAATGCGGGGTCCTCTTTTTCCCCCCTCGCGATCGAGCATCGTGATTCATCCGCGACATCTCCTCCGCGCGTGAGGAAAAGATGGAAGCTTGGAACGGACGGCGTGGAGGAAAGTTTCACTCACCTGGAGGAACGCGACGGTGATCCGGAGTCGATCCAGAGTGCCTTAGACCGGCGACACGAATCCGCTACCCATGGACTGCGAGCTGAAACAACGGGCGATTGGGAACGTTACCATTGTCACGGACACTGTGCTGCGAATCCATCGGTTAATTATCTGCGGTCAAACGCGCGCGATCGAAGCCGGGAAACGCGGTTCCCCGGATATACTACCTACCCCTTGTAGAACGGTTTGAACGCAGTGGTGGCCTCCGTGGGCGGTAGGCTGGCAGTGGTCTGATGCTGGTGCAGAATGGAGTTCTGTCCCGCCGGGGAGAAGTCTTTGTGAGGGGACGCCTGCAGCCTGGAGCTGAAGGAGGAACCGCTGCTGGCCGAGCCGGAACTGGTGGACAGATAGCCGCCGGCTGCCGGGTGACTGGGCCCGTACGGGTTGGGATTACCGTTGGTCGTTGCGTTGCCGTTGCCACCAGTGCAGTAACCGCCCGGTGGTGCCTGGATCACTCCATTCGGTGTAGCCACCTTCATGTTGGGCGGTGTCTGGGGTGGAGTGTCCGTACCAACCTCGGGAAACCCCGCCGCCGCCGAGGAGGACGCGCTCGAGCTCGACCCGGAAGACGAGTTCGGGTTGTAATGGAGCTGACCACCGGACGAGGACGAGAGGAAACCGCCGTACCTCGTGGCAGCGCTCGAGTACGGCGCGGTGGCCGCCGCGGATGGGCTCATGGACGCGGACGAGGGCAACGCGAACGAGCTCAGGTTTCCACCTCCGGCCCCAGCGCCGCCTCCGCCGCTACCGGAACCGAGCCAAGGTTGCTGCGAGTGATGGTGGTGCGCCTGATTGGACAGGTGATGCTGCTGCTGCCCGTAGTGCTGTTGATGATGAAGATGATGGTACTGTTGATGGTGAGGATGCGTGGGTGGCGGTGGAGTCTTGCAGGCGGCCGTGTCCGCCAGCGACCAAATTTTCGGCTTCGTCGCCGGGATGGGGACACCGGCCGCGCTGCAGTCGGACTTGATCCCCTCGTCCTTGAGGTGGTCCTCCGCGGCGTATCCTTGGTGATGATGGTGGTGGTGCTGCATCGCGTGGTGAAAGGGATGCTCTCCCCGTCGGGGGTCCTCCTCGAGATCGAGGTCGTCCTCCTCGTCCAGGTCCTTGTCGTGCTGCAAGTGCTCCGCTTTCACGTGCCTCATCGGTTCTGCAAACAGAGCCAAGCGCCCGCGCGCGCGTCAATTTAGTAAATTGCCCGTTGAGCTTCGATGGCCGACGCGACGCTGCGCCGCTTGCGCCAGTGCATCGTCTCGCCACCGGGCAAACCGTTCCCTCTACTGCTTATAAACGCGAATACCGCGAGTGCTAAGTATATATATATATATTTTATATATATATATACACGGAGTAAAAGCGAACTTAATAGCTCGTAAAACTTCCCCCCTGCGCTCCGAGAGTGGAGTAGATACGCGTGGAAAAGCGGGAGAGAAAGTGGGATGGTGAGCGTTTTCCTTTCCACCGGAACCGATAGAAAATTCAGTAGGTACGGTCAACGGCATCGCATTACGGGCACGCGGGCCCCCCTCTCGTTATTCGGTCTGGACGCGATGTCGGAATTAATGGTTTATAATCCCTGGTGTGAAAGCGAGATCTACGCGAGTCGGACGGTATGCTATATATCGGGCTCTCCGGGTAGCGAGGGGTCGACGACGCCGGGAGAAACGTATCGGAGTCTCCCTTGAACCCTTATACGGTTAAGCTGTAAGGGATGCTGTGAAAAAAAGGGAGCGAAGCCTTCAACCACTTTGAGGCGCGAGAGATTTTAGTTCCCCCTCGAGGCAGAGAACACCGGGAGGGAAAATAGGGAAGCTGTATCCATTCTCCCTTTCCCTCTGTCTTTCCTTCCTATCTCCGTCGCTCTCTTCCTCTCCCCCTCTCCAGTCGCTCTCTCGGGGCACTCTAGGATCGTCCCAAGCGTCTGCCAGCTAGCCAGCCAGCCAGCCAGCCAGCCAGCCAGCCATCCAACCATCGAGCCAAGCCAGCCAGTCAGTCAGGGGTGAGAATTTCATTAAGAGGTTCGAATGAGTCGGCAGAGGGTTTACTTGATGGGTCGTCAAGCGATAATTCCCAAGCTAGAAGGGGCCGCTCCCCCCGCGCGAGGGCAACAGAAATGGACGGATAGATGGCCGAAGGGACGGGACCGAGAGAGACAGCGACACGCAGAAACGGAGAGTTTAGGTTTAGGGTGCGTGCGCGCCCCCTTATAAAGGGAACCTTATGGGCCAACTAAATAGATACCACACCGTCGAGTCCACAAGTGGCTCTTTAACTTTTGACCCCCTTTTATCAGACGTTAATCTCGTAATCTTCGCGCTGCCCTTCGCGACTCTTCATCTCGGACAGCACCGATCGCGTACTCGTCCTTTTTATTCCAAAATTTCTATCCTCGTCATTCACGGCTACCTACCTATCTTCCAACTACGATAAAGATAGCCTGTTGCTGTTGACGCACTCCGATAAAAAGAAAAAAAGGAGAAGGAAAGAGAAGAAAAAATAAAGAGGAAAAGAAAAAATGAAGTGGACCACTCGTCGGGAGTATCTTACAACAGGCCAGACCGTAGCAGCAGCAGCCCTCGTGTGCTCGTGCTCTCGAGTGACCTCTTCCCTTCGACGTTTGGCATGGAAATTCATGAGGGCTCTCTTGAATTTAGCAAACTTCCTGGCCAACCTTGCGGCCGTCTCGTTCCACCCGCTACACACCGTATCCTCCTACTACCCGCCGTATCCAAGGCCCAGCGATACGGAAACCGCTTTCGACATTCATAGGCGTGGAACGCCGCGGAACGGGGCAAAAGCCATAACGCACGCGAGCGAATACCTTCTGCCCAGGCTTTCCACGTTTCGCCATGACGATTCCTTCGCTGTCGACATCCAGCCGAGCGAAGAGAAACGACTCGGATAATATTCATACTCGCTCGCAAATCACCACTGGCCCGAAGGAACCGTGCGCCACCCGACCAAGTCGGGAATAGAAAACAAATCGCTCTCGTGCAGCTCTATCCCTCTCGCCCCGGATTTCGATATTTCCCGCGCGGTCCCTTAAAATTACGAGGCATCACGGGACGCGCGTGACGCGCCTCGACAACGCGACACCTAAATGTCCCGAATCGAAGGGAGCCCTACTGAGGGCCACAGAGAGAGAGAGAGAGAGAGGGAGATAGAACAGCCGAGAGGAGAGGAAGCGACAAAGCAGAGGGCGGCGGACAGAGGACAAGCAGCGAGGCAGAGAGGACGCGAGGGACAGAGAGGGCCGATATTGGCCAATGTGCGGTGGGGTAATGGTGGCCATAGGAGGGTCCGTACCATTCGTCTCGCCGCGGGCGCCGATACATCACCGTGCCTCAAACCACCACTCCGTCGTGTATCTATATACATCCACTCTGTATATATTGGAGCCCGTGGCACGGAGTGTATATGGTCCTACGGATGGCTACTCAGCCCGGGCGCACCCTCCGCCTCTACATCCACAGAGGCACGCTTAGGGAGACGAACGTGTGCGCGAGCGCGCGCGCCACATCCACACCACCGTCGATCCATACGCGTTCGCGAGAACACGCGTCCTCTACGTCCACGTACGTCTCCCATATACGCGCGAATCGTGTGTGCGGTGAAAGTGTACGCGAGGAGGGCGCGCGCGCGCACCAATACCGACGGACCGGGCCGCCGGTCCACCAGGGGACCAAACCGAAGGCCATTAATCTCTTTGCGCGGCAACCCGCAACCCGTCACTGTGTTTACCCACATGTGAACCATTATGTCCGCCTCCGCGATATAGAGCCCGACACACGGCCGGTTTCGCAGCGAATTTCTAACTCGCCGTTTCCGGCCGTTGGGCAAAATGCCTGAATAAGTAGCCTATCGGGCACGGGCGTCGGCCTGCACGACGCCGGGGGGCGAGCTGCAACGACTCCACGATTTCAGCGCCGTCCACCGACTACTCCAGGTCGGTAATCGAATTTACAGGCTGCCCGGGACAAACGACCAGCACCTAGCGCCACTTTCCAACTCCCGCCACTACGACGATCCGCTTCTTCTTCCGCTACGCCAGTGGAAAACACGCCGTCGGATTCGCGCGCGAGGACGACGGGTCGTTGGAATTCGGAAAACAGGCTGCAGAAGGAAACCAGATGTTTTCGGAGAACGGCGGAATTTCGCGTCACGCTATGAATACCATAAATAGGCGAGTATCCTTTCGCTGATGCGGATTCCAGAATTTTTCCAATCGCGTTATTATTAGCGCGTAAGTAGGCGCATCTACGGGTCTCGAGACGTATATTGCGCGTTCGAGAGAAGAAGGCCCAGCGTGTTTACATTTCCGCGACTGATTAACTCCTTTGATTGAAAACGGTAACCAATGATCCTCGTCGCCATCTTTGACCAATAGTAGTCACTGTCTGTGATGATGGAAGTGTCAGTGCAGTTAATCAGCTGTGTGTGCCTTCTTCTCTCGAACACACTATATACGCTATATAGTTATTAAGCAGGATATTATCGTTGTCTGTGTATTCAGGTGATACCTGATGACGATGATATTCCAAGACGTCGATACCGAGTTCAATGGTACCTGATCAGGCTAACTCGGACAATGTACATTCCGCGAACAATGTAACGCGTGTGTTACCATTGACGTAACCTGACGGAGTCCGAATTATTTTTGTCGAAATGAGAACACGGATATTATCGTTGTCTGTATATTCAGGTGATACCTGATGGTACTATTCCAAGACGGTGATACCGGGTTTAATGGTACCTCTAACTCGGACAGTGTGCATTCCGTGAACAATGTAACGCGTGTGTTACATTCACGTGACCCCCCGACCTCGCATTGGCATGCGAATTATTTTCGTTGAAATAGGAACAGGAATATTATCGTTGTTTGTATATTCAGGTGATACCTGATGGTACTATTCCAAGACGTCGATACCGAGTTTAACACCAGAACTACCGATCTTTAATGGGCACCTAACTATAACGTGCACGGATTATAGTAATTTCAGAGAATACGACGAATATGAGTGAATATATTGATTACAGCTCTTTCCTAATACGAGTTGATACCAATTTTATTCTTAAAGCAGGTGTATATATTTGGTGATTGCAAAATTCTGGGACCAGTCATTTTGACTGGGTTGCTAGTTCTAGTGTTAATGGTACCTGATCAGATTAACTCAGGCAATGTACATTCCGTGAACAATCTAACGCGTGTGTTACATTGGCGTGCGAATTATTTTCGTCGAAATGGAGAGTATAAAATATTTCGTTCCATCCCATTACGGTATTTGATTAAAGAAAACACCGTAACTCTGCCTGACGCGCACATAAATTATACGCAGTTCGGCGTGCCCGTATAAGTCACGAGCATTAAGAGGTTAATCCTGTATCAACAGCGTGCTTTTGCGAAAGATTTCGATAGGCAGCGATGGGACAACCCTTTAAGCGAAGACAGCTGGAGCGTTGTCGAGCGTGTCGGGACGTCTCTGGACTGCGAGAAAATACGCAACGATCCGTCATCCGCGCTGATACCCGCCAGTGAAGCGATACGAGCTCGTACGCACCTGCAGGAACTACGCTCAAGGATATCTACGTGTTCCAACTACGGGATGGACACTGGTCTACCGGCTAATTGCCTACAACGAATTATTCGCGACGCGACAAATTCGACGAGGATTAATTCCGCAGAGGACGCGAGGCGTTGGTCCGAGGCAGAGGCAAGAAGTAGGGCTACCGGATGAAAACAAGCTCGTATACAACTGGCCAGCCAATAGAACCAAGTGGGTATTTATCGTAAATCGTAGCGGGACTCGAGAGGATCACAGAAGCTCTCTATAAACGTTCACGGTGTGCACGAGGATCTCGTCGTCGATCTCCGTGAATGGCGCGCGATCCATGCAGGGTGAGGTCGCGTACGGTTATTGTGCGCGCGGAATGGATGCTTGCGCAATATCAGAAACGCCGACCGATGGCCACTCGATATCGGGGAAACTAGTCACGCGAGCTGTACACGCTACCGACATTCCTCGAAGAGATCGCCACGTCTCGCGGCCGGGTTTCACCCTCGACCGAGCCACCGGCTCTCTCTACGCCATTGTGTACGCCGTACATCGCGACATCGATAATTGGCCCCTAATGGCGGTGCTTCTTCCGAGATTCGAGACACGGTCGTTCCCCGAACATTCTTGCCCGCCAATGCATGCACGACCGCATGGATTATTGCGTTTCGTGCTGTTACACGCGTGCAAAGCTTATCGACTAAACTTCCCGGCACGTACAGAGGTATACACGGTGAAACGAGCTTTCGACCTGGCCGCGTGCTTTTTATCCGCCCAATGTATTTTTCCATGCCACTCGTGGAAACCAGTCCGTGGAGGATAAACCTGATCCGGGTTTCGAAATTTAGACCGGAACACGCTTCGTTTCGTCCCTTCAGGTACAAGGGGTTATCCTAAGTGGTTGACAGTTTAGAACGGTAATGGCGGATGCGTGACACGCGTTGCTTAGGCATGGTAATCGAACAGTTAACGTGCAATACGAATTTTGGCAGCAAATAGGTCTCTATTGCAAAGAACTATTTGTTTTTACTTAAATATGTGTGTTAAAAATATGTCTCTCTATTCTAATAGACCTAACAATAGCATGGAACTATGGATATTTGGAGGTATAATACTGCATCCAAGTTAGGTTACTTTTCATTGTAGTAAAAACTAAACAGTGAAGAAAACTCTACATCCCAGCGGTGAGGGCGCGACCCCTTCCTCTACGTTTTGTCTTTTGTCAACCTATGTGGCCCTAAACAGGCCAGTTCTAATGGTTCATCCGTTCAATAAAGATTTATACAGATTTTCTACCGTTTCCACTGACTATTCTTTTGCGTTATAACCCCATTAACAGTTTTTCTATGAATTTTGACACAGCGATGTCAAAAGGTTTGGCATTACTTAGGTTTGGGTACCTCTCACTATAGTATTCTTTTGTTTTAACTGATCTATATGAGCCGTTCACTGCACAAATCGATTAACTCCACTTTTTGACAAATCTTAAATTTAAGTGTCAAAGCACTTGGTATAGACTTGGTATAACTTTTTAAATTTAAGATTTTTCAAAACGTAGAGTTAATCGATTTGTGCAGTGAACAACTCATATATCCTGTCATAGAGTAAGTAATCGTGTCAGTAACCAGTAGTAATATCGCACCAATAAACATTTATTAGAAGATACTATATCTTTCGTTCAAGTCAAACATAGTATCTACTTGGAAGCTCCAGTCTATTTTCATATTTCGGATTAAAATACAATTAAAATTCAAGGGCTATGGTTTATGTAGAACGAGGAATGGAACGAATCGAAATGTCAGGTGGAGGATGGCAAAGGGTCAACGCTCGTGCCCGTGACACGCGGTCATTGATTTGTGCATGCCTGTAACTGTCATAGGCATACTCGATATGATTGTTCCGTTAAGTGAAACATAGGAAAAATGGAAAATCGTTATACGTAGTCCGATCAAAATAATACACGCGCCATCAAAAAGTGCGAGTAACGTGTCACGATATCTGCAAAACGCGAATTACTGCAAAAATTCCGTGCGTCGAGAGGGTACCACGTACGATGCCTGTATCACGTTTTAATTAAAATCTTTAATCGTTATCTATCAGGACATCTATCTTTAATATTGTTTAGCTCGAGGATGTTCATTTTATTCGAATTATTCCGAACAGTGACGTTCCGTTTACCTATGACCACCAATGACAGCGCCGTGAGAACAAGATCCAGTTAGGTCTGACCTGACAGTGATCGCGTTAAAGTTAACCCCTTGAGCGTTTATACGCCTATGTACGCGACACGAATGACTGTCAAATTTCTCGTTTATGCGAATGTTGTGTCATAAACGCTGACTGGTCAGTGAGAGGCTAGACGTATTAATCCGTCACGTCGATCAGCTGTCAATTTATATGCATATCTCGATACCCTAGTCCAGCGAATAGGTTTTAGTCTGCAACGTCTTAGAGAATCGGGGACACGATGGAACAGACTGTCAATAAATGTCAACCGTGAAGAGACGCGATAATTTCGTTTATTTACGTAGATTTTGCAGAGAAAGAGAGTCACTCACCATTTTCCTCGAGACCTCTCCTTGCCTCTTCGCCGACTCTGTCGCCTTGATTGTCGCCCGCGAGGTCGTCCTTCTCTTTGTTGTCCTCCGAGTCCGTGAGAACCGCGTCATCGTCGTCGTCGGTCTTGTTTTTCGGCTCCCAGGTCATCTTGTTCTCCTTTTTCAGGCGCCGCCGCGCGTTCGCGAACCAAGTGGACACTTGCGTCAGCGTCATCTTCGTGATGATCGCCAGCATGATCTTCTCGCCCTTGGTGGGGTAAGGGTTCTTCTTGTGCTCGTTCAGCCAGGCCTTCAGCGTTGCCGTCGACTCCCTCGTCGCGTTCTTCCGCCGCGCTGCGAGGTCGTATCCGGCGCCATATCTGCAACCATAAAGACATGTCCTGTAAATCATATGACGGTATTAACCCTTTGACTGCCACGCCGAAATCGCGTGTTTCGCTCAGGACGTCACGAAGGGAGTATTTTTATTATTCAAAGCACGTAATGGCAAAATAATAATAAATTGGGAATATGTGACAATATTCTTATCCAATGAAATGTTTATCTTATTGCAGTCACCGGATGACCACCATAGAGCCTTGGTAACGGTTGACAATCGACTAACTGTCAATTTTCATTCAATTTTTACAATTGTAAGTAGTTCAATCGCTCCGGTCACCAATGACCACTGTGGTGTCACAGGAAAAGCACTGGCCGGTCATATATGACCAACGTGGCTGTCAAAGTGTCAAATCTCTAAACTCCTTCTCGCGACTGATCTCCAAACTTTGGGTACCTTCACGCGTAAGAAGACCCATTTAGGTCTCTAGACCCATGATCAAGAGACTCTTTGTATTTATCGATACCCATCGCTAGTGATTAAAGCATCTATCGAGCAAAACGATGACGTAAAGGCAATTCTTTGGTAAATTCGGTATCAAAATGCACGCGAGTCTCTGCGATTCCGTTACCGGACCAAGAAGAAGCTCACTTCCGTGTGTTCGCACACGGAATAAATCAGACAGTAAATATCACTGACCTATCGCACGATGGATAGCAACACAGATGCAGGGATCGGTGTTACTCTCCTCCGGAAGCAACCGAAATCCGTTCCCTTACGATTCGACAACCCCCGCGAATCAATATCCGCTCTCGAAGCGAAGCACCGCCAAGGTCAATCATATCTCGATCAGAGACACAGCTCGATGTCCTGTCCCAAAACCAACAGCCTATCCACCACCTCCCCCGATAGTAAAAACGTAACCATTGTTCAACATTTGTCGACTGGAGCCACTCCGCTCGAAAAGTGGCATCCTGTGGAGGGTGCGAATTCCCCGTAGATTTTGGCAAGACCAAAGTGCTGGGCGCGCACTCGGCCTTCGAACGGACAGAGAGAGAGACTAAGAGAGAGAGAGAGGAAGAGAGAGAGGCCTTCCTAGATTCATTCCCCTGGCCGCGGGCTGCGCGCCGGAGCATCGAACCCTCCGGGATAGGGGGCGACATCCTACTGGGTCGAGGGTGATACTCCGGCAAATATATACGGAGAATAAACCCCCAGCGGCGGCGTGATTCCATCGAGCAACCCCGGCACTCACTCGCCGTAATGGCGATTCGATCGATCCCCTCTCCCTTCCTGGCCGCCCGTCTCGCTCTAGACCTCCTGTTCTTCGTCCTCCCTTTCGCTCGCCCCGTGTCCGCCCCACTGGGGAGCTCTACGCGAGCCTGTTATAGGTATGTACTATTATATACTGTAGCCTAAAATACCTATCGACGATCCATCGGTCGTGGAAGGGTGGCGCGGCGTGGCCGATGGCGGTGGTACCGCTGTTCCAGGCGGCGGTTACCAGCGACATTGTAGCCGAAGCGTGACGCAGCTTCACGGGGTACGAGAATCGGATTCGAGGACACGAGCGAATAGTCGCACGATTAATGGATACGCTTGCACGATCGCTGATAACGGGAGCTAGATCTCGTCGGGGAATCGGGGAATAGAGCGAACAGGTTCGATTATTTTAACCCTTTGCACTCAAGGAGAGACGATCTCCAGTCACGGTGTCATCAAATTTGGATGATAGATATTAATTGATATATCAAATTTAAGACAGTGTAACAGTGTCGAGGTAATTATTATATAATATGATTCTTTATTTACTGCACCGAAAAGTATCGTCAGTTTTATAGCAGAGAATCTTTGAATTTCTACTCTTCTTTGGATGAGAAATGTCGAGTGCAAAGGGTTAACCCTTCGCGGACTACCGCCGTATATATGCGTTCGATGGTAACTATCAATTTGACCGAGAAACTCGTATATGCGTTTGGCGAAAACAACTGATAGAACCGAAGTACTCATAAATGTTTTCCATGTAAACGCGTTGCTATGGCTGAGAAACATATGTGCGCGCGCTGTTGCGGCCCTAGGACCGTGCGTTCTAAGCTAAGTGGTAGACTTGAGATGTGTAGTCCTAGGACCGCGCGTTCTAAGTGGTGGACTTGGGACGTGCGGCCCTAGGACTGTGCGTTCTAAGTTAAGTGGTGGACTAGGGACATGCGGCCCTAAGACCACGCGTCCTAAGTTAAGTGGTGGACTTGGGACGTGCGATCCTAGGACCATGCGTCCTAAATTAAATGGTGGACTTGGGACGTATAGCCCTTGGATCGCGCGTTCTAAGTGGTAAGCTTGGGACGAGTGGCCTTAGAACTGCGCGTCCTATGTTAAATATGCGGACTACCGCCGTATATATGCGTTCGATGGTAACTATCAATTTGGCCGAGAAACTCGTATATGCGTTTGGCGAAAACAACTGATAGAACCGAAGTACTCATAAATGTTTTCCATGTAAACGCGTTGCTATGGCTGAGAAACATATGTGCGCGCGCTGTTGCGGCCCTAGGACCGTGCGTTCTAAGCTAAGTGGTAGACTTGAGATGTGTAGTCCTAGGACCGCGCGTTCTAAGTGGTGGACTTGGGACGTGCGGCCCTCGGACTGTGCGTTCTAAGTTAAGTGGTGGACTTGGGACATGCGATCCTAGGACCGTGCGTCCTAAATTAAATGGTGGACTTGGGACGTATAGCCCTAGGATCGCGCGTTCTAAGTGGTAAGCTTGGGACGAGTGGCCTTAGAACTGTGCGTCCTATGTTAAATGGCGGACTAGGGACGTGCGGCCTTAGGACCGCGCGTCCTAAGTTAAATAGTAGATTTGGGACGTGCGGCCCTACGACGGCGCGTTCTAAGTGGTAAGCTTGGGTCGTGCGGCCCTACGACGGCGCGTCCTAAGTTAAATAGCAGATTTGGGACGTGTGGCCCTAGGACCGCGTATCCTAAGTTAAGTAGTGGACTAGGGTCGTGTGGACCTAGGATTGCGTATTCTAAGTTAAATGGCGGACTTGGGACGTATAGCCATAGGATCGCGCGTTCTCAGTGGTAAACTTGGGACGTGCGGTCCTAGGACTGCGCGTCCTAAGTTAAATGGTGGACTAGGGACGTACGGCCTAAGTTAAGTGGTGGACTAGGGACGTGCGGCCCTACGTCTGTGCGTTCTAAGTTAAGTGATGAACGTGGGACGTTAAGTTTTATGTCCTTATTGCCAGCGCCGCTATGAACGAAAATCCCGTTTAAGTAGAAATGAGCGCTGACAATTTTAAATGACTATCTTGGCAGCAGCTGGGCCCCTCGGTACGGTTTACTCAAAGTAGCTCCGTCCGCAAAGGGTTAAACCTTGCTTTCTCTTCTTCCTCTAGTACTCTCGCCAATCTTTTCTATCGGCCAATATATTTTTTGCAAGATTGGCGTTCATTTTTCTCATTTTTGTAATAATCACGAGATAGACACTACGTATCCAGTATCGTAAACGTCGTATTCGTTGCGGTACCCGGTTAGTGCAAAATTTTAAAAAGAAATACAGGGAAACGAGTTACACGATTAAGGGGATACTTTAAATTCTCCTAATGGGCGACAATGGACAGTAAAAAGAAGAGCGAATGGTTGGCGAAAAATTCGACTGGAGGCCACGAAAATTCATCGCGGTCATTTTATCGCGAGTCGTAAATTGATAAAGCACGAATCGTAATTCGAGGGAAAATAAATAAGCAGAGGGTTGATGCCTGCCCGCGCGGTCGAAAATTTTACGGCCGGCTCCGTTTTTCGAAAGGGAATCTATCGCGTTTTACGTCCTCGCCGGACGAGATCATCAAAGATCCTTTTTACGCGAGCGCGAGTTTATTCAAATGGAGACGTTACCCGGGACTAAATCGCGTTTTACGATCGCGCGCCTATCCGACCGATTCTGTTCTGACGGAGCGCGACAAATGGCCCGATGAAATCTTCTGTCCAGGCTTACAAGTTTAGACGTGATCTAATCTCGGGTTTTCGCCGCCGGAACGACCGGCGAGTCACCTAAAATATCGGTCGCGTTCACCGAAATTCACCGAGACAGAAGAGACATTGTCGCAGGGCCAATGGCGCCTGTTCTTCCTCCGCTTTTCCCAAATAGACAACGGTAACTCGAGGACGCGAAGTATAATCGTTTATCTCGCGTATAAACTCCTGAGTTACGAAGATAGTAGTAAACTCCCGTCCCGAATTAATCTAACAAATTTTATTTTCGTTCGAATCTAATAAAAGCCTAATCAAAATATAACATCGCGCGTTATAATCTCACCCGAGGTGATAAAGACGAACACAGAACCTCAAAAGTTACTGAATATTGTAGGGTACCAAAAGAAATCGCGAATCGGTTATTGCCAACAAAAAGAAATTGTAAACCGATCGATATCCTCTAGAAGCAAATCGAAAAGTTATTCTATATAACAAAATTAAGTTGCGAGACTCCTCTACGGGGAGGTGAAGCGTAGGTTAAGGAAAGCATAAAAGCGTGATCCTTGACAACCAAAACAGAGTCCTTGGAAATCGGATGTGACCAGCACAAGCGTGAGTCGCTTGGTGTTGGAAAGAGAGTTTTAAAAGAGTGCGTCTTTGTGTGTTTTCGTTATCTCGGTGTTCTTTCCCCAAGTGTTATCGTGTTCTTGTTCTTTCGTGAATTTTCGGTGTCTCGAGACCAGTTTCGCCCTCCTACAATATTTCATTTTCGAAAATCCCGAGCGAAGGGGGAGCACGCCACGTGCACATACACGCGAAATACATAATCTGACAATATTTTCAACAGAGGACAAAATAATGCAGGGATTGCATCGAAAAAATTTTCTCTCTCATCCGAATAGATGGCAGGACAGGTCAGAACAGTTGGATTACGTTCACAAAGAATTTTCCAAGCTCCAACAGCTTCGAAATCCATGTACGTTGTGTCACGTTCATGGCGTGACGTCATACGACGTTCCTCAGCAGGAGCGAGAGGGTTAAAGAAGACTCGGCGAGCCACGGTG